CAAATCCCGGAATAGGATTGTTCGATTCCGTACTAGGCGGTTAGACAGATGTACCAAGAATATTCCTTACTGTAAATAGAAATATACCTTATTTACGGATTCCCCTAATATATAAAGGGGACTCCAATCATTTGTACATCATCTAATCATTGAGCAAAGAATATACTCTCTAATTTTTGCCTACTGTTCATCAGAATTGTCCTTAGCTTTACTATTCTTACTTTATTTTTCTTACCTAGTTGTTCTTACTGTTCTAAACCCACCTCGAGGTCACTAAGCTCGAGGTCACTGTTGCTGAGTAACATTGGTTTGATTCACTTGTCTCTTTCCTTTCTAGTTCATATTTCTTGATTATTAATTAGAATTGAACTAAATCACATATCTTTAAAATCACTAAACAAATTTAATTATTACTCATATTTTCGAGGTAAACAAAGTCACCTCCGGTTAGCACTCGTGTAAATTCAAATTAATTGAGTCCCAAACCGATATCCGAACAACAAAGGGAAAAGAAGCGGTTTTCGCCGATGGGACATTCTACTAGTCAAAACTCAAAAGTACCATAATTCAACCATGATTTTATAAATTGAGTCATTGTTGTCCAGTTAAGTCTTGTCAAACACATTGTTAATTGTGTAAAGACCAAAAAATTATTTTCATAATCCAGGTGCAAAGGCCACACTGCACAACAAATAATTGATTTCTCGAGTTGATATTAACCAACAAACTATCCAAAATGATAAAAGAAAAAAAATTGACTTGTAATTAATTGATCCGATTTGATATTTGCTTACCCTTAAAATAGATAACAATTGAATTTATATGCGGTTTAAAAGATATTTGAATTGATTTAACACAAATAATCAATAATTTTAAATAAATGGATTAAAGGTATGATGAATAATCAAATCAATCGTGACATTATGACCTAGCTCGAACGAGGATTAATGAGCCTCGGTTGAATCTTGGGTTCGAGGCCAATCGAGAACATAGAACAAAAATAAAGTAGAAATCTTTGAATAGCTAGAAAGCAAATAAATAATTTTGTATTGCATTGGTATGTGTATTACAATGTCCATTGAATGAAAAACTTTCCGTTTATATAGTAGGAGAATTTTATCCCTAGTACAACTCTAAAAAAGGTAAAAAAAAAAAAATCTTCCTTTCTCGTCAATTACTGATATACTACCAACATCGGGCGAGATTCACGCCGTGATATCCAGTTGGGTGCGGATATCACGGCCTTCTGTTAGTCGTGTGCAACCGTGCTTTCCGAGGTTTAGGAGCTCATTCTGAGTTCGGGGAATGATGTCTTATCAGGCATGTGGCGAACACTCCGTTCGAACCTGAGAAGTCATTCCGATTCCATGCAGTCATGTCGTTCGCTTTGTTTGACCCACCGGAAAATTGGGGTATATGTTGCCCCGGTTTCACTCGTATATTAACCAAAAAAACTGATGAGGAAATCGCACCAAACATCTGAAACCATAGTGTCAATTTTTCTTATCTATAAAAATATTTATTGTTATAAAATTCTAAAAGTATTTTGTTTACATTTTCAGAATTTATTTTCTTACATAACTTCGGTCTAAAGTTGTTCAAGATGTAGCTAATAACGTGTGTGAAACATGGAAGCCTATTGGTCCAGCGCATAGCCCAAACAAACAATTGGCTAAATGAAATGTTAGTGAGAATATTACTATAGTACTTTATGGACATAAACTGAGGAGATCAGCAGTGACTGTGTATGCCCTTCAATTCCTATATATAAGACTTATGCATAAATTTTTGTCTCAAATGAAATCACAAGTTGATTGTCCTATGTTTATGTTGGTTTGATTGGTCTATAAAACAAATAAGTTTCAGTGTTGGGTTGGATAGGACTCGATTCAATCAAATTTGATTATAACTTTTAGTTAAGGTATTATATCGAACCAAAAAGAAGGGGGCAGCGAACCTCCTACCAAGAGGCTATTAAGTTTACTTGCTAACTTTCAGTCACTTGTTAGGAAGAAGTGCAATTTGATTGTTGAGGGAATCAACGGAAAGGAAAAAAGAATAACTCAAACCAAATCAAGTACATCCGACTCATTAATTTAAATCACTGAATTTCACCCGTTAGCCAAAGGTTGGTAGACTTCAGGCCAGGGGCGGATTTAGGAGGGTGGAAGGGAGTTTATACCAAATCTCATTCGTCGAAAAATTATACGGTAAGTAAAATCTATTTTGTACCTCTATATATTTTAAATTCGAAGGGGAGCCTTGACTTAACTGGTAAAGTTACTGTTATGTGACCAGGAAGTCAGAAGTTCGACTCGTGGAAACAACCCCTTGTAAAAATACAGGTGAAGACTGCGTACAATAGACCTTATGGTCCGGCTCTTCCCGAGCCCCGCGCATAGCGGTAGCGCAGGGGACTGCCCTTTTTATATATGTTAAATCCCCTTGACAAAGCTTAAAGGTATAGCTCAATGCTCAAGGAAACCTGTGTGAGTTCACTGGTTCAATTCTCCTTGACAAACTGGCTATAGTGCAAATCTTAGGGGGCAGTTCTTTCAGACTTTCCATCTTAAGTGATCTCTGAACCTTCCAAGTTCGATTTATTATCAGCTGGATGAAGTTTATTGAACCTTCCAAGTTTGATTTTTCAGCTGCATAAATTCACTTACTAATACCCCGAGATAAAACAAAGAAATTTTCTTACTGTTAGAAGTAATAATTATATGCATTGTTCGGCACCGAGATAAACTAAGTTTTGTAAATCATTTCTCAAGTTTTTATAATGAAATTGTATACTATATAGCATTTCTATATCATTTTCATTTACGCAACTTAGTTGGTTAGCACTATAGAGGGACAAGAATTTAAGAAACCACCATAATAATTTAGTAATCTTATAAACTTTATGTACATAGCCCCTGTCCAGAATATCTTTGATTAAAATACTCTTAACGTAATTTTTTTCAAAAGGTATCAAATATTAGATATAAAATCTTTGGAATTATGGATTTTGTGATCGGAACTTGGAAGGAAGCTGGTTCTGTGAAAATTTACAATGTCAGCATTACTTGTTTTTTGGTTTTTCACCCGCTATCCATTACCCGTTTTGAGTCCCACTAATCTGAGTTTGCGCCAAAAAATCCGAAGGGATAAAGCACTTCTTATCAAAGACAACTTCATTCGCATGAGTCAAATTGAAACCTCTAGTTAAAGATGAAGGAATATTTACTACCTCATCATAATCCTCGGCGGTGGCTGTAAACATCTCATTCCATAGCTTGTGGTAACTTCAATTCCTCGTTAATCCAGTTTAAGTGCTAGTGATGGAAACGTAATGAAAGGTGATTAGTTATTCCAAATATTTAAAATTAAGCTGTGACCTCATGCTGAGAAATGGTAAGTTATTATATTAAGAGTTGCCATACGTTCAATTATTACTTTGCTGTCCTTATAAAAAAAAAATATATTTCCTTGATGTTTGATTGTACACCCCACTTGCCCAGCATTTAAAGATGTACTGTTACACCAACTGAAACAAGAATATTGTCCATTGTACGGTGTTATCTAGTTCCAATGTACCTATTTACGGATATTGTCCTCTATTTCCTGGAAGTTCTCTCCCTCAACATGCTTGATAAGTTGTTGGATTTAACACTTAGTCTGGCCAATGAACTACGAATACCACCGAATGGTTAAAAGAAGAACCATGTAATCTTCTATTTGCATGTTTAGTTTAGTAATATGCGAGGATAGGATGTGTGTATGAAGTAACATTCTCCATAAGGAACTAACTTTGAATGTTTCAATTTGAAACAGTCAGTTCTAAGAACTACTCTTGCTTGGAATGATAACAAGTTCCATTTCAATCATTCTATCCAAAAAAAAATTCCTCCTTTAGAGTACATCCCAAATGGGCAAATCAAGGACATTGTTTTGATTTAAGCATCCAATATTTGAAAGCCAGTAAAAGGGGATTAAGCGCTCAACAGTAGAGAGGTAAAACAAAGACATTATTTACTTGTACAAAGTCTTTTCTTAGCAACCAAAGGGCAGCAAAATTAATGATTCTTTTCCAAACCATCAACCGACTACTAGTTCAATCTTCTGGAAATGAGGATGTGGGGACATAGAAATAATATGTAGTAGTACCATGCCTAAAGGACCTTCCGTACATGTGGCCTACTAAATGGAAACAAGACAATGCAATAATGTGGCCAAAATATTAATTCATAGATGCAGACGTTTGCCAGCTAATAAGGTTAGACCAATCTGTTCAAGTCAAATAGCCCAATTTTGAAATACTTGCAGAGGATGAGAGTTGAGATTAGGTTGGGAGGATGGGCAAATATTCATATCGAGACTCTGAATCTTTAAGTATGTAGCATGAAAAAGAGGCAAGATCCATTAAGGTAACAGCATCCAGGAAGCATCCAAATTCCAATATCACATTTTTATATAATTGGACATTACATTTCTTATCCAGAAAATAATAATAAAAACATACACGTCTAGACAGATAGATGGACAAAGTAAATTAGGAAATTGTTAGCACTGCGGATAACAATGTCCCATGTATATGATGAACTACCTGCTTTCAGTCAATATACTCTTTAGATATAGAGAGACCATCACAACAACAACAATAACATACTCAGTATTATTCCACATCGTGGGGTCTGGGGAGGGTAGTGGGTATACAAACCTTACCCCTATCTTGTGAGGATAGAGAGGTTGTTTCCAATAGACTCTCGGCTCAGGAAAGCATAAGCACCCCATTAAAGAAATATAGACAAGGGACAGTACCAAAAAGCCATATAAAAACATAATAAAAATAGCAAAATAGTAAGGTGATCAACAATGAAAGAAAACAACGGTTAGTCATAAAAACCTACTACCAACAGAAAGAGACTTTGTGCCAATAGAGAGACCATGTTGACTGAAAATTAACCACAATCAGGGATGGCGAGCGAAGAAACGCTGTCTTGGTAATCAGCAGATTAAGACCTAAATTCTAAAATTTGTATACGAAAGAAATAGATGGAGTATCCTGATTAAGATGATACAACCATTAAACTTCAGTAGGACATATTTTCAGTGTGCATACTGTTTGTACAAAATACATGTCACCAGATCAAGATATTACGAACATATAAACTGCAGCATAATTTCTGCAAATTTAGTAAGTAATACATTATTTGACATAGGTTTAAAGATCGACTGACTAAACTCCAGATGGGCTTCTCAATTAAAGGAATAATGGTGGAAGCTTCAAAGAAGAATAGTCTGCACGCTTTGTCAATATAATTTATTGCAAGTGTAAAACAGCTCTTCTTTTCTCAAGATGATATTATTACTTTTGCAAGTGATGTTATACAACCATAACGTATGTACAAATCATCTTTTTCCACAAGAGTGACTCCCCTGCAAAACTAACAAACATAATTTCAGAGCTAGCATAAATACTACTATGTCAACACCTAGAGTTTATTGGGAACCGGTAACATAAATCAATTCTCAGGTTAGCAGTTATGAGATGATAATGCATTAGATAACTAGCAATACACGTTCATTCAAATCCACAGTTTGAATAAGCATAAACTTCAGATACCTTAAGGAATTTCCCTTTGGCCTTTCTAATTTGAAAAGCTAACTTTCCAGTAAAAATTGGATAAAAGTGACAAGTAGATAATTGTCTAATCTTCCAAAATGTTTTTCAGTAGTAGATTCAAAATTGTATGTGTTTTTGTTGAGAAAATCTATGGAAAATAAGTTTTGTGGAAAAAGAATTTCAAAACATTGGTGGGTTTTTTTGGACTGCATTTGGTAAGTTCTTGAACTGGAAATTACTTCAAGGAACATTCACTATCTGTTGATAGGTGAAAAAAGAATATTTTGTGTCCATTCTTCAGTTAGATTTAGCGAAGCCAACTTGGTAGTTTTAATTAATAACTTTTGTAATTATCGGAATAACTTCTTATGTTGTTGGAGAACACAGTTGGACATCTGTCTAACAAAAAAAAAAGTTATTCCAGCAACTACTACAATTGTCCGACAATCGTATGTAGTTGCTAGATAACTGAATAGTTGTGGAACAACTTCTGCAGTTGTTTGAAGAAATACTTGGACAATCACACAAGTTGTCCCACAATTGTTGGTAGTTATGGGACAACTAAAGAGTTGTAGGGACAAGTAATCGAGCTCTTTAGCAATTTTGAAGTTGTTTGATAAATCTATCTCCGGTAAGAACCACTGAAATATGTATCTTTATGATGTCAGTTATTGTGACCACCAATAGGGGACTAAATAATAAGAGTTAATACATGGTGAATCGGTAGAGAATCCTACTCGTTATACTTGATGTCCAAAGGGTTAAAAGACAATACCGATAGAGATGAGTGAGAATATTACGTATGATGAGCTGATTGAGATAATTATTTCTAGGTTGGGGTTAAATTGTAATATAGAGTATCTTTCCATTACAAACATGCTCGGCTTTGATGAAAAGCAAAAGGCATCTCTTTCTAAGATAAGGGATGATCGTGATTTGCGTCTTTTTGGCTAATCAAAAGAAGCTCATTCTAAGGGTATCTATGGTTGAAAAAGTGCTAGAGAAAATAAATTTCAGCCAAAGTGGAAAAACTACATTATTTAAGAGTTGTTGGGATAACTAGAGAAATTGATGAGACAATTAAAGAAAATGTTGGGCGAAGTGAAGCAGTTATTGGGCAACTCCATTAACCTTAAAATAATCATCTCAAGTAACTAATTATCCATTCAACCAAACCAGTACAAAGAACAACCCCATACACAACCAAATCCCTAAGGTGTCATTCAACATATGGTTGACTATTCTATTTTTCTCAAGTAGTTTGGGTTATGACTGGTCTTCTTGGGTTATGACTGGTCTTCTTGGGTTATGACTGGTCTTCTGGCTAAACCGGGAGTATAAGGAGATTGCCTTGCATAGCTCGGTATTATCGTCCTCTTTGGCTGGAGCCCCTCTAACTTGCATGAGAAGGAATTGATTGCCTCCATCAGGGTATTATGGATTCATAACAATTTTTGCATTCACAGCAACATAGAACCTTGGAAGTACTCATACCTAGTGTTTTGGTCACTCTAGGAGTATCTCCTCCCCTGTCAAGATCTGATGTGCATAGGAGTCTCCTCCTCCTACCCTACCAAAAGATCAGCAGCTTGGTTAGTCGATCTCCTCACAAATATCTAACATCATCTGCCCAATACAATCTCTCTCAAGACTCTCCCTACCACCAACTTTCTCCATTCTTATGGTTGTTGCTAACTCATCTTTTAATGTATCAATATTGGGGTCTGGACTATCTTTAAAGGCTAAGAGGTCGTTTGATACGAAGAATAAGGATAATAATTCTGGGATAGAATTTGAGATTGTATTTATCCCATGTTTAGTTATAGGTATTAGCTAATCCCGAGATAAATTTCACATTAAAATGGTGAGATTAGCTATCTCATAGAGAAGGTTGGATAATTAACCCTATGGGATATCCTTGTCTAACTCACTATTGTACCATACGATCCTTAAATGTCTTTAATGTATGCCTCCCTTTCACTTTGTTTGTTGGTAAAAAGAAAAAGGTGCACTTCTACATTTCACCAAAAAAAAAAAAAAATTAAAATACTCTAATGCTTTTTTTAACACAACTACTGAAGTTATGCAGCAACTTCAGTTGTTATTCCCACAACTTCAGTTGCCCAACAATTGAACTTATTGTTCCCACAACTGCATAGTTGGTCCAACAACAACTAGAGTGTTGTTTACTTAAGTAGTTGGTGCAGAACACATCTGAAGTTATCTAGCTAAGAGGATGGATCTACATTTGTCGCATAAGCGGGTTTTACCACCAACCATCTAATCATTCTTGGAATTGATCTCTTCCTTAGCCATTCGTCAAACTATTTGAATGCTTCAAATGCCCAAGACTATATTGTAATAAGTGAAATGCAGTTTAATGTACATCAATGCCCAAGTCTATATTGTAATAAGTGAAATGCAGTTTAATGTACATCAACAACAACATAAAACCAAAATAATAATTTAACTCAAAATTAAAATGGAAACGCATTTTAATTACATATCGTGAACGCCCACATGAAGTTGTAAAGGTTATTATTGGGTTTTGGATGGTGTCAATTCTTTCACAAAATATTTAATGGTAAGGTCGAAGCTTATTCGACTCTCATGTATATGAAATGAATATTTTTTTATTGGACGCTACTTTTAACTAGTTGGTGTCTAATTTCTTTTTTTGCACATAATATGCTGTTCAAAAACCAAACCACGCTCATTGTTACCTTTTGCTTTTTCGTAGGATACTTTACCTTCTCAATGGAGAAAACAGACTTCCTACTATATCACCCAAATTTTCACCATCTTTTCCAACCTCTACTAACAGCTGAATAAGGAGAGGAGAGAATGACATCGGAGTCCAGTCATGATAGCGAACTAATTGATGCCAAAACAAATAGGTATGCTATTGTAATCACACCAAAGCTCTTTTTCTTTACATAAGACTCTGGTTCGTGAAAAGGAAACACATGAGAGTAGCGGTGAACAGTCAAGTGAAGAAGAAAAAAAATGGTGGGATTACAACTTAGCAGTCGAATGAAGAAGAGGAGGAAGATAGAACTGTGGCTGATGACATGGGTGAGAACCAGGTTAGTGAAGAAAGAAATGAGTGTAGCAAAAATTAGCATTCAACTGAATGTTTAAAGACCATTGACATCACCAGCCGTTGCTGGATTAGATGATGATGTTTATGGTGATAATAATTCTAAAGTTACTGGATCATCAAATGGTGTTGGTGATGCTGACGGTGATCTCGAGACTCTTTCGACCCTAAATGTGTAAAGACCGTTGACATTGTAAAGTATGGATTTAAGACCCTCTTGAACATGTCTCGACCTTAATGAGTCAAGGGTCACTGTGAGATCTGGCTTTGGAAATTAGTTTGTTAAGTTTAGAAAGCTTTTTCCATAGTACCGGGCCTTATTTACTTGTTATGGTTATTGTTTTTCATCTATTTTCTGGTTCTTATGTCGTTGTTATTATTTATATGGTTTCTATTGATGATACTGATGTATTGTCTCTTTTCGTTTTCTTGAGCCGAGGGTCTTTTGGAAACAACCTCTCTACTCCCTCGGGGTAGGGGTAAGGTATGCGTACTCACTACCCTCCCCAGATCCCACTTGTAGGATTTGACTGGGTTGTTGTTGTTAGTTCAGAAAGCTTTTGATCAATGAGGGTATTACAACAACAACAAAAAAAAACCCAGTATAGTGGGATCTAGGGAGGGTAGTGTGTACGCAACCTTACCCCTATCTTGTGGAGATAGAGGTTTCCAATGATCAATGAGGGTATTGAGAAAGGATATTCGAAAAAAGTTATTTTGATCACTTTTTAGACTTGCAAAAAAATGAAGTGCTACTGCTCTAATGAAGTTGGTGTATGTCCTTCTTCTTCACCAAGTCTTCTGTGAAAATAAAAAAGAGCTTTGGTATGATTACAATGTCATGCCTATTTGTTTTGACACCAACGAATTCGCTGTCATGACTAAGAGCAAAAGGTGGCAATGAGCTTATTTGATTATTGCACAACATATTATGTGAAAAAGATGCAAAAAAAAAGGTAGACACCGACTGGTTAAAAGTGGCGTCGAATAAAGAATTATTCGACTTATATCTCCATGGGGTCGAATAAGCTTTGACCTTACCATTAAATATCTAGTAAAAGAATTGAAACCATCCAAAATCCAATGTAACCTCTACGATTTTTTGTGGGCATTTGAAGCAAGTAATTAAAATGTTTATCCATTTTATAATTTTGAGTTAAATTCCTATTTAGATTTTATGTTATACATTAAATTGCATTTCACTTATTACAATATAGACTTGGGCATTTGAAGCCATTACAGTAGTTCAACGCAGTGTTCTGGAGAGAAAGCAGTGGAAAAAAGCGACGAGCCCTCGCTTCATCGAAGCGAGAAGCATGAAGCGAAGTGCTCGCTTTTTTCATGTGAAGTGCAATTTAATACATAAATAAAAAATATTAAATAGGCATAAAAATGACCAAGAACTCAATAAAAATGACATATTAAGCAAATCTTTCAATTCTTAAATAAATAAGTAAATAATAGATACTAGAACTAGATAGTCAGTAATCCTTATAAGTCATAACATATTAAGTAAATGCAAAACCAAATCACGAAGGGAGCAACATCTTATTCTTCAACAAGATCTCCAAACTCTTGAAGTGTCATCACATTTGAGTAATTATATTGGTCATCATCTTCTTCATCATCGCAGGCTTCNCAACTATAAATATTCTCCTCAACTCCACTTGCCATAGAAACATGACCAGAAGTGAGATCTTCTCCTTCATATACTTCTTCTAATTCATGATATTGGGGGGCTCCAGTTAACCATTCATTTGCTTCATCAATATTATCCAACAAAATTGGATCAATGGTATTGTGAGCTTTGCAACAACGCGCCAAATGTTCCATTATATTTAACGAATACTAGATCATTGAGTTTCTTTAGCTCAAGTCTATTACTCTTCTTAGTATGAATATGTACATAAGTTGTAGAAAGTAATTAAGACGAGTACTTAGGACAATTGAGATACACTTTAGTTTAGTAATAATCAAATTGCATCCACCATTCAATTGTAAAAGTATTATTTTAGAAGTTAATAACTTAAAAGTTGAAGCTCTAAAGAGTAAAAACAATTGAAACAACTTGCTCACATGGTGACAATTTGGTTTGGGCTCTAATGGCCGAACCTAATCCAAATATTCCATCTGCTTGCATGTATACTAAGCTCCTCCCCTATTTTGTCTTGCATCGCTTCATCTGGCACCAACCTCGCAATACATGCAAGATATCCCCCACACTTCTTTATCTAAAGTCTTCTTCTCTTCATTTATATATTTGAACTTGGGGTTCAAAATATGCCTTGTTGAATGCAAAGGTTGATGAAGTTGATCTGTCCACCTTGCATCAATGATTTCAAAAACTCTCATATTTCCTCTTATCTTTATCAAATGCCTTTTTGATAGCTTCTTTGGCCCTATCCATGGCTTCATAAATGTATCCCATTGGTGATTTTCTCTCCCCATCCACCAAACGAAGTACAGTAAGCAAAGGATTACAAACTTTAAGTGCTTGAACAGTGTCATTCAAAAAATATGGACCAACAATATAGCTCGCAACTTCTTCCCCAAGAGCTTCCTTTGCATAGATAATCTTACTCCATCCAGTTGACATGAACAAGGTTCTCAAGTTTTTCTTTTGCAAGTAAAAACTATGCAAAGTCATGATAGCTGTTGTGAATCTTGTCTTAACCGATTTCCCCAAATTTCTTTGGTTTGTGTATCTCCTCGTTATGTTCAACAACAATGGCCTCTGACTAAAGTAAGAATGTATCTTAATCGCCTCCGCAAATACAGTAGAAAATCAAATTTCATAGTTAATAAGTGTAAACAATTAACATGAAGGTTAAAAAGGATAACTAGAACCACTTGTTCACACGTAGAATATGGGGCTAACTTGAAAATGTGACCAAACATCAAAGTTGATACAATGGGCAACACAAGGAGTCCAAAAATGTTTCAGGAACACTCCCTTCAATATGTCACCCGCTTTTTTATTCTCACTTGCGTTATCAATAACAATTTGCACAACATTTTCCTTCCCAATTTTCAATAGAGTCTTCTCAAACAAGTTGAACATTTTATTGGAATTGGTGGAAGAGTCACTAGCATCATAAGATTCAAGAAACACACTACCTCTTGGAGAATTCACCAAAACATTAATGATCACTTTCTCATTTTTTGCTGTCCACTTATCCATCATAATGGAACATCCATAAGTTTGCCATTGCACCTTATGCTCCTTGACAATCTTGTTTGTCTTCTCCCCCTCCTTTTTTAGACAAGGAATTCTTACTTCGTTATAGGTTAGGGGCTTCATTCCTGGGCCAAAACCATCTGTGTCAATATGAAAAAGAGCTCTGCATCATACATTCACCTAGCAAAAGCATCTACACAACGCTCCCTTAAACTCTTCCTGCAAGAATTTAAATCAATAGCTTCACCTTTTCTCTTTTCATTTGGTTTTTGCGAGAAATAAAGATTGAGAGGACCTTTCACATTGCTACCCGTGGATCATCCACTTCCACTAGTTGAAATCTTTCTTTGAGATTTTGAGGAAGGCGGCCCATTGATATATCATTGGCTTCAAAGCCATCCTTATCCATTTGATTATCTCATCAATAAGATTAACCATAGATGCTCCGTGGCTCATTGGATACTCATTTTTTTTTTGCAACATACTCTCATTTCTTCCTTAACAGAATCCGAAACATTTGGACATATATTGGCATCTCTATAACCACAAATTAGATGTTTCTTGTGATGATGTATTCCACTGTTATACATATATTTTGATAAAAGATACATTGGAATTTTGTGCTACTGCCAATTTCAACTCCATACGCCCAAGCTGGATCTTTTTTTTGGCTTGATGCCACTGAATAAAAAGACAGAATTTACTACAATCACAAAAAAAGGTTAAAACAAAGAAAAAAAATAGAGCAATCAACAGAGATTAAAAAACAGAGCGGAACATAGAAAATAGAGCCAAAAAAAAGTAAAAAAAAAATAAAAAAGGAGAGAAAAAAGAGAAGACAAATGAGAAGAGGAATCGAGAGGAAGCAGGTAAAGCAGAGAAAAGCAGAAGAGGAAGAGAAGAGAAGAGAAACTTACCTTGAAAGAAGTCGCAACAATCAAGAGAAGAGGAAGAGACGTCGCAAGGCTTGCAACAGTCACTCTAAGCAGATGATTTGGAAGAAAAGTCGCGTAAGCATGTATTCGCAAAATTTTAGAATAAAACCCTAGGTAGCCGTCGACCTCGCTTAAGTGAGCTTTTCTTGCATTTTTCTTGCGCCTTGCTTCTCGTTTCTTTTCGAGAAGCGTGCGCTTTTTATCCCATGCCTCGCTTTAGGGCAGAAAAACGCAAGGGTTGCGCCTTGCCTCGCTTTTGCGCTTTAAGCGAGAAGCACTCGCTTTTAATAACACTGGTTCAACAAATGGCTAAGGATCCTTTACCTAAGAATTCAATTCCAAAAATAATTAGATAGTTGGCCATGAAATCCGCTTATGCGACAAATGTTGATCCTCTTGTCCAAACAAGAGAAGATGTAAGATATACAACTAGACAACTTCAGTTGTGTTCTACACACAATTAATTCAGTAAACAAAGTTGTTGGCACAACAAAAGTTGTTGAACCAACAAGTGTAGTTCTTGGGCAACTTAACAACTACATAGACTTAGGAACAACTTCAATAGTTGTACTAAAAATTCATATTTGTTATGATGAATATCACATTATGGTGGATGTCTACTCTTCTTCCATGATCTTTAGCTAAAATGCTTAATGACATATTCAATGACATAATTTGTATGTTCAATGACATATTCCATGACATATTTTCTTCACTTTTTATGCCTATATAAAGGCCTTATAATAGATAGGAAAAATACACAATTGAAGAAGAAATAAGAATCTCTCTTCCTCTCTTTCTCTCTATATCTCTTAGTTTGTTTTTGCTTGTTCTATATTGTTATTTTGGGTTATATTTCATAACACGTTATCAGCACGAAGCTCTAATTTTATTCTTAACTCCAGCTAAGTTGAGCCATATTTTATTGAGGTATGTATCATTATAATCATTTTATTTATGGCAGTACATATATCATATGCTTAATTCTTACAACCTAAATTTTTCTTTGCAATTTTTGATAATTTACATCATTCATGTTGTTGTTCCCTTTTTCATATTTTTGTTTATCATGTTGTTTTTCACACCTGACACAATACCATTAAAAAAAAGTATGCATATGTATGTAGTGTATACATTATCTAGTCACTGCAACTAATAAAACGTTAAATTCTAT